AATTCTAAAGATAGAAAAGCTTTTTTTATTTGCTGTACTTGCAAGATGCTATCTTGGATTTTAACCACATACAGAACAATTCTTTGTGCTTTTAATTTTTAAATATTTTAAAATAAATTTTAAATATTGGAAAAAATATTCCACTCTCCTAACACACTATTTTAATTTTTGTTTTCTCTTTCTTTGTCATTTTTATATAAAATGTTTAATCTTCATATAGCTGTAAACCTAGAACAAGTAAATTCTTGCAAACTATTTTATCTAAAAGATTATTAATTTTGTTCAGATTTCTAAGGGTAATTTGCAAATATTGTGAATAACTATATAATAGTATGTAGAATTAATACAGGATTGTCATTATTATCATTTTGATTGGGAAAATGAGACATTTTTGGGGGGACTAGCAATCTGAATTTGTGCCAGTAACCTAATGCACATTCTTGTTAGCCAATAGTCTAGTCATTGCCCCTTCTTTAATTATCTGGTCCTCCAAGACCTGTTTACCTAAGTACTACTCCCATTTTAAAGAGGCCATAAACCATGAACAATACACAACCCCCAGACGGAGTTATCAGCACTTGGGCCAGGCCAGGCTTTTAGATGTGGTCTCACAGCCCCCGCCCCAACACACCGGGCTTTTTGCAAAGCCCTCGAAAGGTCCAGAAGTCCCATCTCATATTTGGGGGACAAAGAAACCAAAGAGTATGCAGTGGTTCTCAACCTTCCTAATGCCGCGACCCTTTAATACAGTTCCTCATGTTGTGGTGACCCCTAACCATAAAATTATTTTCGTTGCTACTTCATAACTGTAATTTTGCTACTGTTATGAATCATAATGTAAATATCTGATATGCAGGATGTATTTAGGCAACCCCTGTGAAAGGGTCGTTTGACCCCCAAAGGGGTCGCGACCCACAGGTTGAGAACCGCTGATATAGAGGGAAAGCTTCCTCCATAATGGCTTGCTCAGGATTTGGAGAGAAACAGAGTTCCCTGAGTCACTGTACCAGTACATGTGAAACATCTGAAAATAAATGGGTTTTTCCTGTGTCTCCAAGTACTCCTGTGTGTTCTTCGGTCACCTGGTAAATTCTGTAACAATATAATATTAGACAATTTATTTTTAGTTTTTGTATTATTGTAGATGCTATAATAAATATCTTTATACAAATAGTTTTTTTTTCTTCCACTGAATTATTTTCTTCAGATATATTTTCAAGGGAGTGAGAATGCTGGATCAATGAAATACTACTTTTGTACTTGACTTACGGAGATATATTGCTTTCTCTAAAGGTATTGGGGGAAAGCCTTAATTCAGGATTGATTCTGAAGAACTGACACAGATCCTTATTCAAATTCATAAGAGCTTTAATAGGAGAAACTTACATACAAGAGCAAAGCAGTTGCTTCCAGTAGTGACCAGCCAGGAAGAATCCACACTCCTCCCAGGACAGGGTCTCTTTTATAGGGGGCTAATAGTAAAACCAAATGGTGGATAGTCATATACACCACCAGGAAGAACAATACATTCCTAAGTTAACAGATAACTTCTGGGAGTTATCACACGCTATACATTCATTAACCTCCTTCCTGGGGGCATGACATTTACCTTTGGGCAGCATTCTGGTTTTCTGTGTAGTCAGTCAAGACTGAGGCTACAAAGATTTAAGAGTTTGACATTTCCCAGATGCTTTTGCTGCTAGAACCATATAGCATCTCTAATGAGTTCCCCTACTCTCCACCCCAGATGTAATTTGGATCCCTACATTTCACATGCCAATCTTTCACAAATTCCCTCAGACCCATAATGGTTTGGAGTTGGATGGAACAGCAACCCTATATACCACAGGTGCCCAGCATAATTAACAAATAAACAACAATAATGCCTATCAGAGCCCCCTTCCATGGTAGTGATATAGAATGAAACCAAGTGGGGTGGAGGAGGTCAATGGGAAAACAAACAAACAAACAAAAACAAAGGGGACATCTGTTATACTTTCAACAATAAAGAGAAATTAAAAGAAGGGGGAAATAGGATCACTTCCTAATTGCTGAATAGTTGAGATTTGGTTAGTCATCTGGGTCAGAGCAAAGGATATGTTATGATGATTATCAGGAATATATACTCAACAATCAGTATGTATAAGAGTGCAAGTTCTTCCCTGGGCAACAGTAAACATATCTAAAGCCATGTGGTTCTGCAACACTGCTTTTCTCACTTGAATAGTTTCTTGATCTAAAAAATCTATAGCATACTTAGAACTATTAAGAGCTTGGGCAGTATGATTAGCTAATACAATGATCTGCCATTCTAGACTGCAGTGACTTCAGGTGGAGAGAAAAATGATAAAGGATACTTCTACCATTCTACATGTTTATATCTCCCCCAGAGTGTAGAGATGGCAGGCAATTAGCTGGGGGATAGGGAGGGGGTGTGTTCAGAGTCTTCCGGATGTAACCAGATAGTACGGGGGCCATCCTAGAATACATATACCTGTTTAATTGTATGGCAGGTAGGGCCAGTCATAAGTGCCACATGTCCACAGCTACGCTGCAGGCACTGGGTAGGCTCCAGTTCTATTAGGTGTTTGGTACTGAAGCCACTGAGTAGCATTTAAGGTTATACTAATCAATCAACAGGGGCTGAAGTACCCATAAAGTGACTTCCATTATAAGTAGCAATGCAGTAGGAGGTACGATGGGCAAGAACTACAGTAACTGGGGATCACCACCCTGACATCCTAAATTCTAGGGTACAGGACTGGATGGGGATAATTAAACTCTTCCCACATGAGGGGATAGATAATAGTACTAAGAATCTTATTTCATGAAAGGGGGGGGGGGGGCGGGGAGCAGTGGTTTCATTACAGGACAGAGGGAAATCCATAGTGATCACTGCAGGCCTACAGCCAGCAAACACACATCAGGCAGAAAGGTTGGTGGAATGAGTCTTCCATTGGAGTCCTTTGGCTACAGAAGAGGACATTTCTCTACAGACCCAGCAGTCACCCTCATTTTGGATTAATGCCAACGAGTGGGCCTAGGTGGCAAATAGGTCACCTTTCATGAAATGGCCAAAAAGGCAAAGAAGTTACAGGCACCAGCAATGGTAAACCATGACTGGGAGTGGTTTCTGCTTTGGTTCTCAATATTACACCAAGTTACCAGCCAGGGATGGAGCAGTTGGTGGCATTAATGTAAGGGAAAGAATGATAATACTCCAAATCGCCACAAAGGACATGCTTTTTCTTAGTCACTGATCTGATGGGCTCTGCACCACCAGCCAACAAGGGAGTGTTGGAAATAACCAAGGAGTTACCTGCAAGTTAAGATTTTGTCCCTCCCCTTAGGCTCCAATGAGCCCAATCCATCTGGGGGTAAATCTGCCATACCTAATATACTCATAGATGACTGGTACCTGGCCCTTGGTCATGTGGAACCATCAACAATATGGCATTACATGGTCCCAGTTGTGGAGTCCATTCAGCAGTCAAACTCTCCAGCTAAATCCTCAACGTTGTCAATGGTCTGCTGGTTAAGAGATAATGTGCACTAGCCCTAGCTGGTTTGGCTCAGCAGATAGAGTGTCAGCCTACAGACTGAAGGGTTCCAGGTTCGATTTCAGTCAAGGGCACATGCCCAGGTTGCAGACTCGATCCCCAGTAGGGGACGTGGAGGAGGCAGCCAATCAGTGATTCTCTCTCATCATTGATGTTTCTAACTCTCTCTCCCTCTCCCTTCTTCTGTGAAATCAATAAAAATATATTTTAAAAGAGAGAGAGAGAGACTATGGACTAGGACGTGCTTGTCTGGAGTAGCTGTTGAGTTCCATCAGAGCACCAGAGCTTCTGGCAACCTATGTGACCATCTCTTTAAAGAGTGGGTTTTTCTGCACAGAGCCTGTTTCAACAGTCCATTCATCTTCTCAATCAATCCAGCGGCTTTAGGATTATAGGGCAGATGGATGTGCAACATTATATTGTTCTCAGTGGCTCATTCCTGTATCGGGTGACCAATTAAATGAGTCCCTTGTTCACTGTCGATGTCTGTGGGCCATCTCTACATAGCACACAATTGCCTAGTCCCTGCATGGTAGTCTTCTGGGTTGTTTTCTCACTAGGATATGCTTGCTACAGGACAATGGCTGTATCAATGCACATCAATGTTATAGGCAGTTTTCAGACAGTGGCAAGGATCTGATGTGCTGCTCTACCTGCCATTTCATGGCTGGAGCTCCTGCTCTTGCTATCTATCCAAGATGCCATGGCAATTATCTCTCGCAATGGAGAGAACAAGGTACATTCCCGGCAGGCCTCCTCAACGTGGGTATGGGTGAGGTTCATACCCATTTGTTTCACAATTTCCCAAAGAGCATGTACCCCTTGTGTCCAGTTTCTCTATGTAGCCAGCAAGCCACTTCTTGAGAGTCACTGCTTTCCTCAATGTATCAGATCTGGGCCAGCTGATCCACCTCCTGATTCCCTGGAGGGGATGGAACTCTGTGGGCCAGTACATGGTACACTTGTCTGTTCCAAAATCTCATCCCACATTTCAACTCTCCATAATTGGCAGTGATGAACTTCCCAGTTGTCCTCTTTCCATTGTCCTATCCACCAAGTGAGGCCTTTGTAGACAACCCAACTGTCAGTCACCAGAGTGATAGAGTTCGGTTCATCCACTAGTGCCATCCAAGGCACTCCCAGCTCTGCCAATGGACTGCTTTGCTGGCTTCCTCCATCCTGCCATATATGTCTGTACTAAGCAGTATGGCCACTGCAGTTCAGTGGGGTGGGTTGCTCTTAGCAGACCCACCAGTGCACCAAGCAGTCACAGGGATTGGTGCCTGACCTTCTTTAATACAAGACTCTAGTGGTGGATGTGTCCACAAACCCATGTCAGTGTCCACAGGCATTTCATATGTGACTGGGCCCAGGATGGCATGCAGCTCAGCACCAAGTGGACTGGTGAATAGAGCACATCATTGCTGCAGGTAGGCATACCACTTGTGCAGGGTAGTGGACTGGGCCACCCTGGATCAGGGTTTGGCCAATTCCTGATCCTCCAGCAATGGGGTATTGTGCCCTTAGTGTCACTCGGGAGGCTTTCATGATGCATTCTACATGCTGCAGACTAAGGTGTCCTTCTATGTGCTCCAGAAGACTCTCCAACACCTAATGGTAAAATAGCAAGCACATGGCCAGTTAACATAGTGTCATCAATGCAATGATGTAATGCCACCCCCTAACACACACCTTTCCGTGTAGTCTTTTTCACTACTAAACCATGACAGATGGTGAGGCTATGCCTAGTGGTAGCACCTAAAACATCCAGTATTCTTCATTCCAGCTGGTCTTTGCTTTGAGAGTCTATGGAAATACTGAAGAAGGCATTATCAAGATCTAATAAAAAGTGATATGTCCCCAGAGACTCACTGACTTCATTCAATAATTGAGCAGTATTAGGAAGTGCAGCATAGATTTGGGGGGTACTATTTTATTATGCCACTGCCGGTAGTCCACAGTCATCTGCCAAGATCTGTCTGGTTTACAGAATGACCACATAGGGATGTTCAAAGAACTATGGGTGGGATGGATTCTGCCCACTCTATATAGCTCTTTAATCATATAGGTCATCTCTGCATGGCCCCCAGGAAATCAATATTGTCTCAGGGATATTACCCACCTAGGTTCAGGGAGCTTCACAGGTGTTCATTTCACTTTTCCCCTAGAGCATGGGCTTGATTGCTCATATTCTCAAATGGAACTCTCCTATTGTGAATATTTGGCCTAATTGAGCTAAGACATCAATGCCCAATATATACTCAAGTAGGGGCAAAATGAACACCAAATAGGACATCAAGGGCAATCAACCAATCTACATGAAGAGTGAGACTTGCTTCACCTTTATGAAACTACCCCCTTAGCCATCTATAGCAGTTAACATAGCTGGTACACTTATGAATACTACCATAGATCAGTGTGCATCCGGCTCCAGTATCTACTAGAGCCAAGACCCGCTGTTTATTGTTTAATGTCCAATGGATGGTTAACTCTACCTGGGGCCTCCAACCTCTCTGCACCATCCTTAGGAGGGATATCCACCATTTCCCTAGTACAGCTGCTCAGACTCCTCCCATGAAAGGGCAGCAGACAGAGAAGCAGATGGAGTCACCTGGTTCTGGTTCATGTGAGGACCTTTCTTAGGTGGCAGCTTCTGAAACTGCTGTTCAGGCTTTAATTTCTGCCATAATTGTACCAAAACAGCATTTAGCTGTTTGTCAGTTCTCGCTAATGGCATGCCTTCTTTCATTAAATCAAACACAATTGTCAGTGGGAGACCCTGATTGGGCCCTTTTCTCCACACTTCCCATCCTTCTTGCTGATTGCCAGAAGGCAACTGTCTTCTTCTGGTTCTCTAAGTCTGCAATAGCTTGGCCTACTTGATCCACCAGCAGTCTAACCATAGGGTTCAGAATCGACACCAGGGGTCCTGTAGTATACAGTCAGGGGAAGACTGTAGTAAAATATCTTTCATACAAGAGGAAAATAGCTTATTATCAGGCCCCCAGGAATGCTGCACATAAATAGCATTTTTGTTTCCTAGCTCTCTGATCAATTCTTGTTGCTTTTCTATGGTCTGCCATAAGGTTGGGGAGGATGGAAGATTGCCCACATTCATCCAAGCTCCCTGGCATGCCCCCTGTATCCATGCCAGCATGGATACTACCTGTTCTTTGTTCAAAGCTCCATAGAGGTGCTGTCTCAGAGTTGGTCATGTGGTAACCAATGCTAATTTAAACATTTCTTCCCCTGTTAGGAGGACGCCTTCAGCACCTGAATCCCACAAGTGCAGCATCCAGCCTGCTACAGACTCCTTCCCTCTCTGCCTATACCTGTATATTCCCTTATGGAAGTGAACTGACACCCTTCTGGTGCCAGGTTCACTCGCTGCGGCTGTGGCTGTTCTGTCTTAATCTCTGTGATCATTATCAGTCATACTTGTAAGTCCAGTATCTCTATCATGTCCCCTCCTCCTCCTCTGATGGGAGGGAAGAGAGGGATGAATCCTTCATGGGGTCCCAAGTTTTGTGTTCCCAATTTGCCCTGACCATGACTGCCCAAACCCAGCAACACTGTACTTGCTTTCCTTTCAGTTTTGCTACTCTGCACGCTAAGGTTTCTACCTTCTCATCACTCTCATGCAGATGTTGTGAGAGCCCTTCAGTAGTAGCCTCCTATGCCAGGCAGATTTCCCTTTCTAATTGAAGGTCCTCCTCCAAACAGTGATTCCAAGTGGCCAGTGCTAATGACTCTTCCCAAGAAAACTTCCAAGCACAAGGAGGAACCAGGCTACAGCAGCCACCATACATAACCTTACCATCTTTACTTTCTTTATCTCTATTCAGCCTCTCCCATAACTCTGCTATCTGGTGGACATTTTCGGGGCATCCTCATACTCACACTCTAGTCCCCAAGACTCCAGTGCTTGTGTCAGCTGGTCCAAAGCATGAGTACTTAGCCAACCTGGGATTTTCTCCAGCAGAGCCTATTTTGACCCCATTTTGCCCCTAGGTTTAGTGGGTTTTTTGAAATTCTGCTCACAGCACCAATTTTTGGGAGAAAGCCCCAAAAGTATAAATTCAGGATTGATTCTGAAGAACTGACACAAATTCCTAAGAGCTTTAATAGGAGAAAATTACATATACGGGCAAAGCCTCTGCTCCCAGTGGTGGCCAGCCATGAAGAATCCATACCCCTCCCAGGGGAGGGCCTCTTTTTTATAGAGGGTTACTAGTAAAACCATATGGTGGGTAGTCACATAGACAACCAGAAAGAACAATGCACTCATAAGTTAACAATGTGATTACATCAGGCATTTATCACACTCTATACCAGGGGTCCTCAAACTACGGCCCGCGGGCCACATGCAAATACAAATATTGTATTTGTTCCCGTTTTGGTTTTTTACTTCAAAATAAGATATGTGCAGTGTGCATAGAAATTTGTTCATAGTTTTTTTTAAACTATAGTCTGGCCCTCCAATGGTCTGAGGGACAGTGAACTGGCCCCCTGTTTAAAAAGTTTGAGGACTCCTGCTCTATGCATTCATTAACCTCCTTCCAGGGGCATGGAGTTTATCTTTGGGCAGAATTTTGGTTTTCTGGGTAGTCAGCCAAGCCTGAGGCCTAGGAGAGTCAAATAGTCACAGAGAATTATAGAGTCTAATATTTCTCAGTTGCCTTTGCTGCTAGAGCCATATTGCATCTCAGTGAATTTCCGTACAAAGGTGTTCCAATTTATGCTGTCATAAGCAAGTGTGTAAAATGTGCTCATTTCTAAATTTTTGTGGTACTTTGGAGTATATGGGGGCAAAATGGAAAAAGAAAGTACAGAGTAGGGAAGAAGAGAGGTATATGAAAGAATAATAGTTGGTGTTCAATAATGTTGATGGATAATTGGACTTTTCAAATGCTGAATTCCTTCCTTAGAAGAAAAATGTAGCACAATAAGTGGTTTCATTTTCTTCCAAAGCTTTGCACAATACTAGAGCAAGCAGGGGTTTCCTATTAGCTTAAAAGTGGAAATAACATGCTGTTTTCAATGTGATTTTTAAAATTATAATGAGCCATGAACTGCCTTAATGAACCGCTATCATATGAACAATGCACTCTATCATCATTTCCCATCTTCAAATCCATTTCTAAAGCAATTACCTGTCTACTACAGATCAGCCATCTGTTTTGCAGTAATTACATGAGCATATTACTTAGAAAGAGGATGCATTTATCTTCTATATTTCCATAGAAAAGCATGGCTTTGGTTTTAAAGCAAGAAATAACAAAGTCCTCTGTTATTACAAATAAATATGTATACACATGGTCTGTGCACATCTGTGTGCATAAGTGTGGCTATGCACTTTGTTGTTGTTTTTACCCCTAGTTGCCATAGTAAATAGGTGTGGCTGGGATGGGAGGGGAAGAGGATATTTGCCTTGCCTGGATGTCTCATAATAGCAACTATTGCAGCTGCAGTAATTACTAGACTTACTATTTGCCAGAAACTGAAACTTGCTAAACCTTTACAGACATTATTTCATTTAATCGTTACACCAATTTGGTGAGGTAGATATTTTTATACCTAACCACATAGTTTTACCTCATTTGCAGATAAAGAAATTGAGGCTTATTGAGATTGAGCTCCCTAAGGTCACAAAGCAAGTGGCATAACTGAAATTATAAACCAGAATTATTTGTTCAAAAGCCCATGTTCTTAACCACAGTGTCCTTTGAGATTATCACAAATTTTGTTCAAATACTACATGGGTAACTTGGTGCTTTCTGGATAATTTCATGTGGATTTATAATAAAGAAGGGATTTAAAGTACCTCCAGCTTCCTCTTTTGCTCCTCTGAATGTTTCATGGTTCTCCCTCAGCACCATGCTCAGTGCTCTGGGTTCAGTTTAAGGCCTGTGGGGACTGCTTTGGGTGCTGAGACACCCCCAAAGCAGGAAAACACTGATGTCCCAGCTCAAACAGCATCCATAACACATGTCTTTGTCAAGAGAATTTTATCTCCTTATCCAGAGATTGTCTTAATAAAATAACTAGTTATTAAGTTCTTGTACATAAACAGACAACTTTGCTTGCCTGTTTTTGCTCGACAGACTCAGTTGGGTGATCACAAGCATTTCAAATTCAAAAGGACCAAAATTAAACTCACCTCATTTTCTTTCTCACCCTCTTCATACTTCCAAACTCACCTATGATTTCTCTCCCTCATGCGCCCACACAGTCATTCAATTACCAAGCCAATTACCACCCCCAAACTTCCCCTTACTTTTCACCCCTAAGCCACAGATATGTCTTTCCCTAGCTACTATAAAAATCTCAGTTCCCTAACTCATATCTTTGCACCTAGTTTTGGCCTGGATCAGTTAGTTGCTCACTGCACTGCAACCAAAAGGATCTTTCTAAAATTCATATCTGATCTTTTCAAACTCCTGATAAATAGTAGATTTTTCCACATTATTCTTTGAATGAGCTTTCAACTCCTTTCTTGGATTCATATAGTCCTTCATATCTGATTCCTGTATCACTCTGCAGCCTCACCTCTGGAGATGAATGAGTCCTCTCCATTCCAGCCACATGGATTCACTTCTTGGTCCTGAATATGTCCTCTTATCTTCAGGCCATTGCACTGGTTGTTCCTTAAGCCTTCACCCAAAATGCCACCCCATTATAACTCACTAACTCCTACCCACTTCAAAATTCAATGCAGCAATTACTTCTTCCAGAAAGCCTTCCTGAGTCAGAATAGAAGTCCCTCCCAGAAGCCCTCATAACATCTTAGACTTCCCCAATCATTGCATTTGTCACACTATTTTGCAGCCATTCATTTATCTCTCACTTGGTTCCTGGTTTATAATTCTTTTCTACTTGCTGAAGAGGTGACTAAAAGTTTACTGCAGTTTTATGATGGAATTTCCCAGACCTCTCTCCTCTGGCTAACTGAGTTAAAGTGTTTAATATAACACCCAACATATAGCATGTGCTCATCAAATGTTAATTTTACTGAGTAAATGCCCCAAGCAATCTTTCTTGTGAGATGCCAAAGGTCACTACAGGTGAAGTCCCGAGTCCTCAGGAGCACACATACATTTGTCATATCTGTAAGACCTTGGCTTAAAAGATAAGAAGATGACCAGTACAATCTTTGCCTTCAGGCTGAAGATGGATAAACCTAAGGTAAGGAAGTCTGCTTTCTTTGTATTCCAATTCTTAAGTTTTCCACACACGAAAAAAAGAAGACAACAGCAGGAAGAGGAGAAAGAGAAAGAAGAGGAGGAAGAGGTGATGAAAGGAAGAGAAGAGAAACAGGAAGGAGAGGAAAAGAAGCAAGATAAGCAGGAGAATTGAAAAGAATTATAGGAAGATGATAGAGAGTAGGAAAAGGAGGAGAAAGAATAGGAGCAGATGAAGGAGACAACAAGCCTTTCCTCCCACAAAGGACACCTTCTTTGACTTTAGGAGAAGTGCTATAAACTGTGGGAGAAACCCTAGCCTGACAGCAGGGGGACAGAGACTAGCTGGGCCTCTCATTGTCTCAGAGACCCCAAGACAGTTATCTTTGTGAAAATAAAACAAAAGAGTTGAACTAAAATTTTCTGATTTCTTCTAGGTCTAAATATCAATGCTTTATAGAAAACCATGCTTTTGATGCTTTTAAATCCTTCCTGAAGAATGGATATTACAGATAATTTCAATGTTTTTTAAACAACATAAGAAAAAGATATCAGT